TTCATGAGATGGGCGTGTCAGGCACCGCACTCGTGGTAGGTAAATGTTCATGATTACTGTCTTGTGGATCATTGTCTATCACTGTATTATTGTCACTATCAACTTCATCCAATTCAGGAATCATTATTTCATCGCCACTATCATCATCAGAAAAAATCTCGTTCACAACATTTTCCAGCTGGTCTGTAGGAACACGAAGACACTTGCTGCAAGAAGCTATGGTGAAACTGAATGAATGTGAAATATTTTCTGACCTTTACCTTCTCAGAGGGTTCTGACAGTAATATAGACCCCCACAAAGTTTACAAGGGTTCTTTACAAACATGCACAAAAACTATCATATATATGTCTTTGGTTGATGAGTGCCAAGAGAGCAAAGAAGGGACGAGATTGTCAAAGCGTTAAAACACGCCAACGCCAGGGAACGGCTGGCATCGTCCGGGCGTTAAAACACGCCTGCGCCAGTCAAAGAGTTAATAAGCAGAGTTTCTTATTGCTGTGTGGGCAAGCTCAAGGCTAGAATGGATGAATAAACTGAACTGTTCTTACAAACATCCACTGGAAAATCGTTATCTTTTACAGACTATGAAATCGTCACTAACCACCAGAAACATTGGTGAAATTCAAGTGGCAGATAGTGTGAATACTTCTGGGATTTAGATTAGGTGTGTTTTCTAAACATTTTTTGGCACACCAATTTGTTTCTATGGCTATTTCTTCCACACTGTCTGGTGTACAAAATGACTCAAGATATTCCGGTGGTTACTGGGGTCTTCTAAATCAACATATATGCCAGGCTTGCCAGTAAATGGTAAATGTGACAGCTCAGCACCTAAATTTGCAACATCAGGTTGCATGATACTGTTGTCACTGACATTTTCTGCTTCATCAGAGCCGACACTGTTCACCACCTGACGAAATTTTCACATTTATTTCACTATCACTACTATATTCACTCTCTGAAATACCACTTTATTCATTCTCTTGTAACAGTTCATAAAATCCTTCATCACTCACAAGAATCTTCTTGCTAGGACCTGCCACAATGTTCAGTTGAAAGAATTCGAGCCCAGGACAGATATGAAGCAATCAACAACTTTCTTTCACACTCGGAAGTAGCTACAACATCTTTCAAGCACAACATACAAGTTTCCACTGCTGACTGGCATTATATCTACAATGTAGTAGTTAAAATGTTTGACGTCCACAGATGTTATGGCCACTACAATACACAGTACCGCATGGTGTCTACAGACGTCATAACTACTTGACTGGTTAACCACCTTCAGGGTTGGTTCAGTGACGTGTGACACGGCAGGCGGACACGCACGCCAAGCCATCGTGACAAGAGGGATCCCCATGTGCTTTCCACATAGCTCTATCCACAGGAGAGGTGATGCAACATGGACTCTTGAACTTGAGAAAATCAGCTGTCAAAGGCTTTTGGTTGCACTTGCTAATCCTAAGAGTGCTTACTTTTTTGCATCTGTTGTTCACTGTCCCTATTATCTCGGACCAGACCCCAGCACCCATCCCCCCCCCCCATGAAAGTTGGATAAAAACCTGCATACGCATGAACACTGACTCACCCTTCTCACATTGACCTTGAAAACAGAGGAAGGATATACCTCAAAAATATTGGCAACAGTGTCAGCACTCATGGTGCAAAGACTCAAGTGCAGAATCAAAATTTCTGAACTTGCAGATGCAAGCATGAACCATGTCCTGAACACAGTCAGCATTAAGAAACAAAGCAAATCCTTGCAGTTTAGGCTGCACTGCATCACATTTATTTCATTCTTTTAATGTGGTACTCTATTACAACAGAAATGTGGGCAAATTAAAATATCTTGGGATGACAATAACAAACCAACACTACATTCACAAGGAAATTCTTGGGAGACATGTTCAGAAACACTTGCTACCTATCAGTTTAGACTCTCTAATCTTCTGATAGTCAAATAAACAGCATCACAATCAATACACATAAAACTATACTTTACTTTCTGTTTCCTGTATTTGTGAACAGTGTGCGGATATTTTGAGAGCAAGGATATAAGAGGGACAAAATAAGAGACAGAAAAACTGCATAATGTGGAGCTTCATAATTTCACCAATACCATTAGTGATCAAATGAAATATGCTGAGATGTGCACATCATGTAGCACCCATGCAAAACTAAAGGAAAGTGGACAACTAGGAAATGTAGGCATGAATGAGAGGATGAAATTAAATCAGATCTTAAAGAAATGGGATGTGACAATGTGGGCTGGATTCATCTGGTTCGGGATAGTGACTAGTGGAGGGTTCTTATGAACATTATAATGAATCTTTTTATTTCATAAAAACCAGAATTTCTGGACTAGGTGAATGACTATCAGCTTCTCAAGAAGGTCTTGGCTCCATACAGTTGTTGCTTGTGTCAAAACCAGTAAACACACGTAAAACATTAATTTTTTTAAAGTAGTGTAAAAACAGTTATAATGCAGAGTGAAGTCTAAAGAGATTCCAGTACTCTTGACTGTATTGTAAAATCTTTACCATAAAAACTAAATGAAATACTGAAGATCAACCGAAATGTCCAAGTTAAAAAGGTTTAATGTGCTTAAAAATAATAATTTACATTAACTACAACTTAACACTTCTAAAGTTTAGTAATAATTCACTGTTCATATTAGTGTGCTGGATAAGCTATGATCTCAAAGTAAATTATAGACACTTTAAAGACTATGTGCAGTAAAATGTAAAACTTAACATTAAATCGTACTGAAAATAACAGACCAACCTATAGGCAGCGTCTGCACGAGCACACAAAATGCATCTGTTGTAACGAACATACTTTGCTGAGGACACCACACAGTTGCAGAATGCGGTGCGTAGTCTTTTGTCTGCAATAGAGCCAGAAAAAAGCGTAGCATTCGCCTCTCTTGTTTATTTCAACAATGGACGCATTTTGTGCGCTCATGTAGATGCTGCCATAAAGAAACAACGAGATCTGTAAGAATCCAATATTTTGCATTCTGTATGTATTAATTTGACAACGAACAAAACAGTATAATGTTGTATGTATGTATGTATTTGTACACACACAGAGGTACAATCTATACTGCAAACAAACTTATGAACGTTTGTTTCTCCACAAGCCTTTGCAATCTTCTTATAGTACTTAAAGCTACTGTTAACAATCTTTCTCACTGAACACAATATCGCCTTTTCTACACATCCCACACATTTATACAACAGATAAGAGCGAAAACCTCATTTACTTTGTCACGCTATTACTTAAACCACACAACTAAACGCTGTCCACGAAACACAAATGTCACTTGTCATTCATTTCATTATGCTCTACTGAGTCAAGCATCGATACACGTCTATAATTAAAATGCATAAAACGTCATGCATCATTTTATTGCCATACTAAACATTCTTCCAATCTGATTCAACCTTGTTCGCATATACCTCTTCAAAAAACGGTACTTATCCTAGTTGTTCAGGGCTTCGGCCTACACCCTAATTGACAGAATCAGTTCCTTAATGGAACGAACGAATTCTTTAATACTTAAAAAACATTCACATGCAAATGTATAAAATTAATTTTAAATTCATGTAAGAGAGCCATTACCATGTAGCCAATACACCAACAACACATTAACCAATGATGAACTGACTGATATTCGCTATTACCCTACACGGCAAACTTCTTAGTTATTGTCACATAACTACACCAGACCATAAAACAGTAACATACCTTGGTCCGTCCAAATGGGTAAACAACAGACAAACGGAATTTAATCCCTACGAATACAAATAATAACAGATGGCTACAGATTCTAATTTTCTTTCTTTCGATTCCCTATTTCACTATCTTCAAGATGGCGAATGCGACGGATGTCTTTTGCGATCAATACAATGACGTCATTTCCAAACATCAGAAACAGCGAAGATACTACACATCCAACACATTTAACTGAATTTCCAGTTACTGGTATTTACCATAACAGATCATAAAATGCACTATTATCCAGTGGCAATATGTAGAGGAACATCAAAAGTCTGTAACTTTAGCTCTTAAATTTGTATTAATTTCTTATTTAAGAAAAAATCCCCTCTACATATTCTCACTGAAGTGCAACTGTCAATAACATTTCTCAAGAAACATAGAAGTGAAGTGCCTTTCCATGTGAAACGTTGTCAAGTCCCAGCATCCCACGGAGTACTCAGAATGAAATAAATACAAATTCCTTGTCAGCTTATTAAATTGCAAGGGGAATAAAAATGCTAGATCTTAACTGTAACCATTACGTTAGACATATGGAGTGCAATACATAATAATTCTGATTTTATTTCAGGTGCATACTTGACCAGTTTGTTGCTAAGGTTACCAATGACGCCGATAACGCTATGGTGCCGCGATCGTTAACTTGTGTTTGTTTCTCGTAATTGTGCAAAGTATAGTTGTGTAGTATTTCCTGAAATCAACGCAACTTTGACATCCTGCGAACTATCATAAATCGTCAGCTTTACTATACGACATGGTAAATACCTAGAGCTTCGTGCAGTCAATACGAGATATAAACATCATTGTCGCAAAACTATACTGTACTATACTAAACTGTACAGTTTCTGAATATGTGGAGCATAACATAAGCAATTAGTTTTAATTATTTCGTTATCTGTGTGTTTGTTTAAATTTTTGTATGACGACCTTCATGTCCATTTGTTTGGACTTGTGAAATGAAATGTATGTATGTATTCCTAACCTTACAGTTCGCGGTGAAAATCTGGATTGTAGTCTCCTCGGTTATGACATCGTATGATCATGTAAATGTTAACCAGCGTTTCGAAGGAACCTGTTGCTTCTATCTGCAAGCTACCGTACACTCTTAAGAAGATCTATTATTCTGAGTAACACTGTACCAGCTCCTCAAAATTAAATATCTATATATTAAGAGTAATTATGTTATATAGTTAGGTTCTGTATATCTGTTTTAGGCTTCGGACATTTTTCTGTAACTTTATTCCTGGATATTTGTTCCACGTTCTGTGTACTTGGGACTGAGGAAAACATCCATGTGTATTCCATCTGTTCAAAGTAAAAAAGAAGTACACCTGTACCTGTAACAGGCTGTGGAAGTCCATAGGGTTGTGAGACATTGAGGGTCCCACAATTTCTAGACAGTCTTCTCACAGATGGTAGCGAGGTTGTCAGCCTTACACTCTGCCCACCCTTTACCCCCAGGAAGTTTCCTGGTTCACTTTCTTTGTTAGAGGCCGAGCTGATGGCATGGCCATAGTGCAGCTGGAAGGATTAGGTCAATTGAAAAAATTCCACTGACCCCATCAGGAATCAAACCCGCAGCCTTCTAGCTTATAGCATAGTGCCTGAACCAGTTACATTATCATGTGTCCCTCCTGTCTGAAGTAAGGCTTTTAAATCAATGGCAAAATGTTAAGCACTTTTCTTTTGCAGACTTTGCTACTGCATACATATTTATTAAACAGTCATATTTCTTGGAGAGCACACATGTACAGGCTAAGATTAAGAGTTCATAATTGATGATTACTGTGCTGGATTTGAGGTTCTCATTATCTGTGACTATGAATGGGATGTAATATAGTAAGTAAGTAAGTATTTATTTTGTCTCTATAGATCATTGTTACATGATATAGGACAAGTCAGTTACTGTACATTGGCTGATTACAATAAGAGAATAAAGTTACAATACTTAAAATTGTTTACAATAGATTACAGTAGATTACAATAGTAGTGTAGTATGGGAGAAGATTGCTAACATTGTGGAGGGACATACTACATCCATTTTGGGGGCTGAAGAGTAAGCCAAGGAACCGCTCCTCCAGAATATCAGTGAACTTCCCTTGGCTACACAATAATTATTTCTTTTACATTTCCAGTCTGTCACTATGCACACTGATGTTGGAGATATAAAGATTGAACTGTTTTGTGAATACTGCCCTAAAGCTTGTGAGGTAAGATAACTGAAATCTGACAATAATAATTAATGTTAACTATAGAATAAGTGCTGAAGGTATGTACAGTGTACATCCTGTGAACTACATTTGAAATTGAAAATTCACATTTGTTATGCAGAATTTTCTTGCACTATGTGCGAGTGACTACTATAATGGCTGCCTTTTTCATCGGAACATAAAAGGCTTCATTGTTCAAACTGGAGACCCAACACATACGGGGAAGGGTGGAAATTCTGTGTGGGGCCGGAAATTTGAAGATGAATTCAAAGAAGATTTAAAGGTTTGTAGTCATTCTGAATCAGACCTATTGCTAATTGTAAACTGTGTATTCATGATGTGTTGCTTTTGTGTTTACTTAGAATGTAGGAGAAGGCCCATGGATGTTATTGTTAGCATTCATATAAGCATTACTATATTGCATCTTCGTGTTATTCGGGATTTATTTTGTTGGATTCTGAAGTTATCACAGTAGTGACTGTGAAAAATATTACCTTCTGGGGTTGTAACGCTATATAGTCCAGTAGAAGTTCACTGACCTTTTTTGAGGAACACACTGCCTCCATCTTCAGGGTTGAAGAGTAAGCCAAGCAAGTAATCAACAAGTAATCAAACAGCAAGCAAGTTGTTGCTTTGAAATTTCAGTGAACTTCTATCAGACTACAAGGCATTACCTCCCAGTAGATAGTACTTCTCAGGATTTATTTTGTTTTTTGAATTCAAATAAGGGTTTTTTTACTTTGTCCATCATCCAGTATTCTAAAAACACAAAAGACTACTGGATCTGTTTCAGTCCTCATGTGAGGGGACAGACATTGTCTCTGTTGGGTCCATTTGAAAGAACTAACCGCAATCACTGGACCAGTTTCCAAAACATCGTGTTATTTGTGTTTGTAGAATACCGGCTAATGGACAGAGCCCAAAAACTCAGTAATCCCACGTGTTATGCACCATTGTCAGAACCGTTTAGAATCAATGAAATATTCATATTGCAGAGATATTCTTAGCATACAGATTTTACTATGAACTTAACTGACAATAATGTGTCACAATGACACAGACTACTTATAATATTATATTTCAGCATTCTGTGCGCATTGATGTGTCACTCATTCACTCATTAACATCTCTAATGCAACACAAACCATTCACAGTCTCTTCTTTATTTTAAAATGTCATTAAAATCACATTTAATTGCAATATGTTTCAGCCTTACAAGGCCGAATTAATGAACACCTGCCTGAAGATGGCCTTGTAAGGCCAAACATGTTGCAATTAAATGTGATTTTAATGGCATAAAAAAGGAGAGACTACAAATGGTTTGTGTTGTATTTGAACCATGTTCTACGATGGCTCCGATATTTTTTCCAGGCATCCCCCCTGCCCTGAGGCATGCCTTCCATTACTTCCTGCCATACATAATCCCATACTTCCTGTTTACTATGTGAATGAACAAGTGACTCAGACTAGTGACTAGGCTACAAAGTGGGTAACCATGATACTGGGATTCAGTTCCTAGCAGGGGTAACAGATTCTTCTCTTCAACATGTCCATCGAGCCGCAAATTCAATAGTTACTGAAGGCTGTTTCCCCAGGAATAAAGCAACGGGGGTGTGAACCTGACTACTCATCTCCATCTGGTGTCAAGATTAAGAATGGTGGAGCTATAACTTCACAGCCCCATATCTTCATAATGTAGCACTTAATTAATTAAGCACAGGGATAAATTGAATTGAAAATAAAATACAGATATATGGGAACTGAGAGTTGTGACATCTGTTATGGATTTATTTCCAGTCTGGTTCCCATGAATTCAGTAATCTCAAATGTTATACGAAAGCATGAGAACCATTACAGAATTAACTAGAATCTCTCTTTTACAGCATAATGTACGGGGTGTGGTTTCAATGGCAAACAATGGACCAAACACTAATGCCAGTCAGTTCTTCATAACATATTCACCCCAACCTCACTTGGATCTTAAATACACAGTATTTGGAAAGTAAGTTGCACTTTCAGGCATGGTTGCATCTCCACAAAGTGACTGTTAACACTTTGCTGACCGGTGATTTAAATATTTAAATCACCCTGGGGACTGGCATTTTTAAATATACTACCCTAACTTGTGCACTGTTCACTTTAAAAATTAATATAAAATCTCCTAATTAATTTTTTGAACTACAATTTTTGGAGAACACTTACCAATGCTCCTAGAAGTGCTTGAGGGTGTGATATTTCTGGAAACTTTCCCCTTTGTGAAGTGGCATTACACAGAACTTGCAAATGTAGACATACTCCTTTTTTTGTGAACTGTGCAAACACGGCATTGCCTAGAAGTATTCTTCCCCTTGGAATGTTCACTCTTCACAATTTTCACGAGGGTATTTTTCCGCATATCACTCGAGAATCGCCCTGGGGGGTCCACATGAGGTCTTTGTGGGGTAGGAGTTGATGGGCCCCGTCGTACTAAGTCTTTGTGTGACCCTGGTTCTGCTGCCACCATCTGGACTGTAGCCCAGGCCTTTGCCACATTCATCAGAAATGCTTTGTATTTCAATTTTGAATCAGGGTTTAGATTTTTTTTAGATTTTTTTGCTGTCCCTGCAATGTTACTACGCGCAATGTTATTACGCGTATTATCATTGGAGCTACTGTCACTTTTATTGTCTGTGGCCACAATTCTTTGTTGTCCCCCGTCACTGTCGCTGTCTGAATGACAATCCATTACTACGCGTCTCACAAGGCAGGTTAGCTAGGTCATCGAAGGAGAATTTGTCCTTGATCCATTCTCCCCACTAGCTACTGGCTGATACACACAGCTTGAAGAAGGCAAAGCATTTTCCATTATAGTCGGTTAAGCAAACAGCGAGGTCAAGTTACTGACTGCTAACTAAACATTCCAGAGTCTTATCACGCATCTGCAGGCGGTTGCATGCAATGTAGGTGGCGCCAGAGTGATGTATAGTGTGTTGCAACTTATCGTGTTCTAAAAGCCTGTTAACACACGAACGGTCCACCATGTTTAAAAGCGAGAAACCTTTTAAAGGGTGTGCGGTCCACAAAGTGTTAAAATATGGATCCATATTTAGGAGTTCAATAACTTTAGTCATACGATCATAATACTGCCTGATGATGATCCCATGAGGACCTAAACATGTAGCGGTACAAAATAAAATAAAATTCAATCTGAGTATGGTTGCGTAGTGGTTAAGGTACTATGCTACAAGCCTGAAGGTCGCGGGTTCAAGTCCCGATGAGGTCATTGGATTTTTTTCAAGTGACCTAATCCTTCCGGCCGCAGTAGGCCCTGGGGTTTACTCAGCCTCTAAAAGAATTGAGTACCAGGAATTTGTTAAATAATTTTCCTGGGGAGTGAAGCGTGGCCGGCGCGTAAGGCTGACAACCTTACCGCCATCTTTGGGCTGATTGTCAAGGTAATGTGGGACCCTTAACGTCTCACAACCCTATGGGCCTTCACAGCCTCTTACAGGGATAGCTTTACTTTTACTGAGTATGGTTGACTGAAAAAAAAAGACACACATTTGTTGTGTTGATGGAAACCTTACCTTGCCATGTACTTGCTCTGTTCATTCATCCACATGAAACAATTCCACAACTACTGAATGGATTTTCATTAATTTAGATATTTTTTTAAATTTAACTAAGCTTTGTTGACTTACCCCAATTTTAATTAAAATTGGACAGTAAAAACAGACACTATACATGAAGACATGTATATTTCTGCATTAATCTTGAGCTTAACTCACGTGTAAATTACTAAATATTTATCAGAGTTGAAAACGTTTGAGCAGAAGTTAAGAGAAATATTTGCTACATGTTTTATGTTCACTGCACTTTTTCTTAATTCTTACAGTTTCCTAATCAAACAAAAGGGAGTGACCATGCCAGAGCTGGTATGCTATGCATGCATTTCATAATTTGCTGTATTTAGCGTACCAAGTCATATGCACTGAAATCTTCCCAGGTTCAACTCCGGTGATGGAGACAGAGCATATGTCTGAAATGCAGGTCTTCAATACAATATTTTTATAGCTAGCTGATTACAGGAGAAGATTTTAGTATATTTATTTGTCATGGAAGCATGAAATCTTAGAAGTTAGTTACATTTCCCATATCAGTTGATTTTTTTTTTATTCTAGATCTCAAGATTTGAGGTTCTCATAGCAGTGAATGTGGTCTTCTCACATGTGACATCATGTATTCTGGTAGTTACACAAGTGTTTCAGAGGAACCTTCTGCCTCTATGTTCAGGATAGAAGTGAAGATGGAGGTGGCATGTTCCTGAGAAACTTTGGTAACTGCCTGCCAGACCACATGCTGCTGTATCCCAGAAGATGTCAAGTCTTTTAATCTAGATCTGCTATTGCTCTAATCACTTTTCTGCAGGGTGATTGATGGCTTTGATACACTGGACGAGCTGGAGAAACTTCCAGTCAACCCAAAGAACTACAAGCCATTAACCGATACTCGAATTAACAGCATCACAATACATGCAAACCCTCTGGCTGCATGATTACAAATAATTGCTTGAATGGAGAGATGATATTTGTGTACACCTTCACCTGGTTTTACCCTGAAGGATTAACATCAGGCAGATCAGAAAGTAAAGACATTTATCACAGCCTGCAGAAACACATATCAAGTGGACAGAAGGATGTCACAAGATGTTTTTATGAACTTTCTGAATGAAGAGCTAATATATCAGTGAGGAAGGTGGGGATGATAGGAAAGAATAATTTGAAAACTGGAAGTTAATGCAGATTTATTTTGCTGAATATGTTTTTTAAAGTAGTAATGAGCATTTGGAAAAAAAATAAATGCTATGTAAAATGTTCAATGTATGTGACTTTCCCTCTCCAACTTCATGCATATAATCTTAAAAACCTGACACACAACTGTTTCATAACTGAATTTGAAAATGCATATATCATGTTCAGAAAAGCCCACCTTTGGGCCACATCCTTTCAATTTACTACTCTAATATCTGTTTTAATACCATTACCATTCCTTATATCTCCCAAGTGGACTCTTCTCTTCAAGACGAATTTGAGGTTCTCATAGCAGTGATTACAAAGTGCAATGCCATGTAGTCCAGTCCACTGAAATCTTGGAAGGAGCATACTATCTCTGTCTTCAGAGTCAAAGAGTAAGCCAGGCAAGGAATTAGCAAGAAGCAGTCACTGATTAGGGGATTTCTACCAATCCCAGATGATAATAATTTTTCTTCTCTTAATGTGTTCCAACCAAACTGTTATATTCATTTCTCTTAACTCTTACCTGATACATGTTCTGCCTGCTGATCCCATTTGATTTAATCAACCTAGTAATATTACTGCAATAAAAATCTGCATATTTTTTAAGAGTTATTACCATACATTATTTTGTGATCATATCATAACCCTTTGATTGCCAAGGCCCACCACAGAAATACCTGCTAGTAATGCCAAGGCTGTTATACACAGAAAAATCCACAACTACAGATCACATGAAAGCCTGTTCTTTCCTCTAAACATCAGTGTGTCACATCTGATGCGATCTGCTGACAGAATGCTATACTAATTAATAAGCAAGCTGATCTCTTCAGCTGTAGTGATTTTAACCAAGTGCTTTAAGCAGATATAATCAATTTTTGGCATGCAAAAGGTTAAGAGGTGCTAGTGTCACTTAACTCACACAATTTTGCAAATCTGCCATGCTGGTACTACTAACCAATCAACTAACTAAGTCCATGGAGATGAGTTCTTGAGAAGCTACCAGTCACTCAGCTACTCAAGAATTTCCCAGTACTTTATGGAACATGGAAATTCATTACCATCTTCACAAGAGTCCTCCACTGGTCCTTATCCTGAGCCAGATGAATCCAGTCCATACCACCAGATCCTACCTGTCTAAGATGCATTTTAAAATTATCCATCCACTTACATCTTGGTCTTCCTAGTGGTCTCTTTCCTTCTGGCTCCCCCACCAAAACCCTGTATGTATTCCTCTTTGCTCACATACATGCTACATGCCCTGCATATTTCATCCTTCTCATTGACTTAATGATTTTGATTATAATTTTCATTTCATGCATCCTGTTGTGTTACAACATACAACCTCTTTATTAACTGTCACAACACAATAAATATCAAGGTCAGTGCCCCGCTACGACTCTGCTACATGTTTCGGCTATCAATAGCCATCATCAGGCAAACACATGGCTAACAACATATACACCATCGAACTGCAGTACTATCAAACTGGATACAATACTATTAATCATAAAAAACACTTGACATAAAAAATACAATAAATCATACTATATAAAAACAGAAGTAATAGTGTAAAACAAGAATAAAATTTTAAAATTTTTAATTCATGCTCTATAACATTGAATCAGTTGTTGTCCCACGGACAAATTGGCATATTCTATATTTTTTTCTTTTTGTATATAAGATTTTATAGGAGGCTTGTGATGTAGATGTAGTAAATCAATGTTAATCATTTAGTCGGTGCCTCATCTTACAAAGTGTTGTCCATACTGTAGGGAATGTAAACAATGACTAAACAATTGTGGGGTTTTGCCTTTGTTGTTCGTCGCTACTCCTATGACAACCCACTTCTTCGGAACAGTTTGTTGGTCCTGAAAAGGACCGTGGTTGCTGAGATGTTTGATCGGTGAGGTAGCACGGCACGCGCTGGTAGGGAGAGAGGTTAGTTGCGGTGGTTTGACTGGCCACAGCGCGGCTGTTGCTGGAGGTTGCTTGATCGCCTTGCGGCAGGTGAGTTGAAGTTGCGTGGTCGTGCAGTGCGGTCGCAGGAGTGATGAGGCAGTGGCTACGCCAGATGCCCAGTGGGTCGGACAGGGACACGACCACCGGCGAGTCCAGGCGAGATGCCCCAGTGCGTCGGGTGTGAGAGCCGGAGGGCTGAGGCAGTCTTGCCTGGCGCAGCTTGCTGATGCCTCCGAAGACCGAGCACTGGCGACGAAGCCTGCTGGCTGATGTTGCATGAGTGTGGCTTGATCATAGACAGAAGTCAGACTTATGAGGCCGGTTTGCGGCTGCTCCTTTTTATACACTGCTCGGTGGGCGGAGCGAAACTTGAAATTGAGGAGGAAGAATTTGCAGGGCGCTGATTGGCTAGCGCACATGATGATGTAGATGCGGGGCTAGCAGCGAGTGCAGTATAAATGTGAACGTTTGGAGCAATTTGATTGGATATCGTGCGTGATGGTGAAAAGTGATGTGAAGAGTGTGCGTTGCAGAAAATGCATGATAATGTGGGATGTTCCCACACAGTTAACACTGATTTACTACATCTACATCATGAGCCCCCTATAAAATCTTATATAGAAAAAGAAAAAAATATAGAATATGCCAATTTGTCCATGGGAACGTATGAAATTACAAAACCAACGACTGATTCGATGTTACAGAGCATCAATGAAAAATTTTAAATTTTTGTTCTTGTTTTATACTATTACTTCTGTTTTTATATAATATGATTTATTGTATTTTTTACATCAAGTGTTCTTTTTATATTATTAATAGTATTGTATCCAGTTTGATAGTACTGCAGTTCGATGGTGTATAAGTTGTTAGCCATGTGTTTGCCTGATGATGGCTGTTGATAGCCGAAACGTGTAGCAGGGCACTGACCTTGATATCTGTTGTGTTGTGACGGTTAATAAAGAGGTTGGATTTTGATTATATTGCCATGCTGGTACTAGAGATGGCAATAAATGAAAATCTAGAGACTGGGTGGTCTCTAGTGAGATAATATTCTTTCCATGTACCATGACAGTTTATGAATTCTTTCAAATGTTCTTGGGAGAGAAAGACATAAAGATGCACACAGGTATGATAATACTATGGGCCCATCTATCTGTAATGAAAGTGACAAAAAAATTGTTGTGCATATGTATGTGTATGACTGTAAGTGGGTACGGATTGGTGAATGGATTTATTGTTCACATATACACACCACTTGGGACTACTCAAGTAATTACAGAGCAATTGCTGATTTACAAATCACCACCTGCTAGGTCTTTTCCCAGCCTGCTGTGTCTCCATCAGCCACTCGCTGGCAACGGCTTCTAACAGTGGATATTCTTCAGCCTCCTGTGCTTAGGTTCTATCTTCATGGCCTTCCGTGCAGAACTCAACACTAATCTGATTGCTGTGTTCCATCTATGCAACTCTAAGATGCATAGACAGAACATGGCAATCAAATCAACAACTAACTAGGTAGCCCCATCTTCAAGCACAGTCCTCAGCATGGACCACATAGAAAACATCCGCATTTCCATTGCTGTAGTCCAACTGTTGCAGCTGCCTAGCAGTGCATTGCATAACACTGTTTCTAACAGTAACAGGGTTATGACATTACTTGTGGGATGATCGCATGTAAGAAGACATAAAATGACACAAGGCTTGTGTTTCATAATATTCATAACAAGGCAACTAATATTTGGAATGATGATGATGATGATTATTAAATACAGGAATACTTCTAACTTGTTTGTTTGTTTCTATCTCTCTACCACTGACCTAATAAACAAAATGCAGAGATACTATGAAATTTGCTCCATACCTACTCCACCAAGCAAGTTGTCTTCATGATGTAATGCTTCTTATATTGCAGAGCCAAGTTCAAATCTTGGCTAGGGTACTGACTGTCCTGACTGAAGTTTTTCATGATTTTCCTTAACAGATCAGTTGGTGTAGGGACAGACTATGGGCTGGTTCACTGGGGTTTGGCCCCCCAACAGGGGAAAGATTTTTTTCCCCACAACATCCAGACCGACTCTGGGGTTCACCCAGCCTTCTTTCATTACATACTGGAGACACTTTCGCTGGGAGTAAGGCATCTGGGTTGTGAAGCTGACCACTCACCTCCATCTAGTGCCGACATCAAGATTGGTGAAGCTATACCTCCACTCCACCATGCAACATCTTTACTTTTCCTCAGTAACTTTAGGCAAATGCCAGAATAGCACCTTAAACTACAACTACTTAAAGTACAACTGATTCATTAATTCATTATCATCTGGTCATTTTATGATATATGGTCTGAGTTACTCACAGCATTGTTCAATATACTATAAATAAATAAACCACAAATATTCTATACTCTTTCCAGTATGCACATTTGTTATGGCACTGGATAAGTAAGATTAAAATTATTTCCAGTCTCTTTTTAGTTACATCAGTAAATGTTAACACCTTAATTTGAGTGTCATTCCTTCTTTATAAAGTTTTAGCTGCTGTTTATTGTGATACTGACAGGGACGAGATAACATATTCTGATCTAAGAATGGGTCGTACAGTATATACAGGTATATTTTTACTTTTAGTGTCTTAAATTATAAAAGTAACAAACAATATTTCAATCAATATTATACAATATTATGTACAATATAAATCCATATACTGGAGGTGTTATAGGTTACAGATCCATCTTGAATCTCCCAAGAGTTTTATTTTAAAATTATCCATTAAAAATTAATGTATTTAATAATAATTTAACAATCAGATTGCTCTATTATAATTTCCTTAATCTAATAATACCCAGTGGAGTTCTACAGAATTTGGTTTTATGTAAAGGGTGAGAACAAAATAGATACTTATACAATTATCAAGATCAGGTAACAGTTTGAACCTTTGAAGTATGATGTTCATCTAAATAATATTAAAAAATTCGGCTCCTCCATCACAGAAAACACACAGTGTTTCAAAGACCAACTAGCCAACTGTATTTAGAGAAATAATTGCTGTGTATTCCAAGAATCATACAAAAACACATAAATACACTGTGTGGACAAGCAGCAGAGTCTGTAATGTTGAAGCAGGTGGTGCATATAGTATACTGTGCTGTAATGTACTAACAGCTACAGCCACAGTTTCAGTTCTGTGGTGATGAGGAGAGGGACTTTCTTGTGGCTAATCTTCATTTGAAGGACCAGCTGAACAATTGCAGCGACAGTGCTTCCCAATACAAGGAATTTCTAAATAATCCATTCCTGTCGCAAAAGATCGGCAGAACAATTCCTGACTTGTTGGCTCAATTCATTTAAAATGAGCTTAGATGGGTATTTGTCAAACAAAATATGTTCCAGCTAATCTTAGCAAGAAATGTAGATCAACCAAACAGTTAGATTTCTGAACCTGTCCCAGATACAATGCCTGACAGACATCTGTGGGAAAAGATAATGTCAAGATGATCTCTGCCAGTAAAAAAAAGTAAAGCTATCCCTGTAACAAGCTATGGAGGCCCATAGGGTTGTGAGACGTTGAGGGTCCCACATTATCTAGACAAATCACCTCACAGATGGCAGCGAGGCTGTCAGCCTTACGCACTGGCTGCCCTGGACCCTGCAGGAAGATTCCTGGTACTCATTTCTGTTAGCGGCTGAGTTGACCCTAGGGCCATAGTGCGGCTGGAAGGATTAGGTAAATTGAAAAATCCAGTGATCTCATCAGGAATCGAACCCGCACCCTTCCAGCTTGTAGCAAAGTGCCTCAGTAGTTCATATGCAAACTTAAAATATATGAGGTTAAAATTAATTTTAATTTACATTAAGTTGAAATACAATTAGGATTAAGTAAAGTTCTTCCTGATGTATTTTTTAAAATGTTGGTTTATTTGGTCATGTATAAGTGATCTGTTTTCATATTAAAGTATAATTTTGTATGTTAACATATTTATTTATTATTAAAATTTCTGATAGTTGTCATTGCTACTAAATCATAGTGGAACAAGGTCTTTGGTTGTGTGATCTGAAAAAGTAATTGTATGCTGGTTTTGATATATGTGTGTTCTTTTTGTACGTATCCATTTATTTGTGTAGTAAAACTTGTTCTGAATAGTGTGGAAGGTGTGTACTGTGTGATGGTTTAAGAGCTGAAACATGAAAGACAATACAATATCCATTCATTGATTAAATGACTTGTTGCATTAGATGGTATTTTTCAGTTAAATATATGAATGGTGCAATGGCAATAAGGACTGCTATTAAATTAAGTCTTGAACTTCCAGAATTTTCAGATAACTGCTTTTGCTTTGCATGTTAATCACACAATCTGGCCAGTTCATCACAATTCTACATGAACAAAAACAGGTCCCAGAATTAATTTTTTTATAATACAGTTAATGATAAATTTTCACAGAAAATAACTCTGATATGAAATGCGATTAAGTACTACACCTTAATGTAATGAGAAAAAGTCGCTTTTGTTATAATTTGTGACTGCAATAAAGAGAAACTAGTCTAGTAAGAATTCTCATATCAATTATCAAATTCTTTTCTTTTCTTTCAAATTATCATCGTGAACTGCAAAAGTCATTCTTGTATATGCCTAATACATATATTAAGAAATGCACAAACACGTATTATGTTGGACATTTTCCATCACCTGGGTTATATTTAAAATACACAGAGTTTCAGAAAGTGGATCTGTTTATCACCAAGTGTGTGCATGTCCGCATGTGAAGGGGAGGAAACCTACTTAGTTTGGCTTGTTAGATGGAGTTTAATTTCAAACACTGGCTTCCTTTTAGCAGGCCTGAGTAGAACTCATTCACTTCCCCACCACACCTAACCTGTACAGTTTCTGAAACTCCATGTATTTTAACCATCTGTCAAGCTTCACCATAGAAATTATAGGCTGTTTGGGGGTGAATACCATTCCACAGGAATACCCACAATACACCTGGAGATTATCTTTGAACAGGCACAGATGGAGACAGTGGGAAACCTCTTTTGTCTTCTAAACACTGGTATGTAGTGTTTGGTGACCTCTCTTGGCTGAATCAATGCTGTATAATCTCACTACTGCCAGAGTCATTAAATAATTTAAAAGAAATCATGTGAGACACTGCTGCAGTCACAACAGTTTTCATGTGAGTATGCCGAGCTGATTGAATCAGCTTTTGGCATGCAAAGTTTCAAATATACTCCAGACTGTGGCCTATGTCCAATATGATAAATGTAAAATAAACAGACCGCTGTCACAAATCTCTAGAGAATTACAAGTATTTAACATTTTATTCCAAATATGATGGGCACAGTGGTCCCTTGTGTTACTCACTTTCTATGAAGCAGCCCACCTGTTGTTTTAATAGTGGATCTATCAGTAAGAGAGGTATGGCTTGGGGCTGTAAGAATAAAGCTGCTCTTGTCAGCAGTAAAATCAATGAGGTTTCACTGTCTGACTGGTAACTGTTCGTCATATATTCCTAATAGCCGTTTCCCATTTGGATCAAATGGGCTCTTGAAGTGGACAGTGACATTGTAACGGTTCCCCATCACCTCCACCTGGTAGTGGCCGTTCTGGAGGAATTCTGAAGTGACTCGGCGACCCTCTGGATGTTTCACATAACTGCATGTAATTTAAAGATACAGTCAGAAACTGTGCATTATAATTTAATTCAAAGAACATGAAATTCTTCAAAACCTGTTATCTTACCTGCTTACATACATGCATGTATGCAAATTGCTTTATCAGTGGGGTTTTTATGATGCTGTAAAATATTGTTTATTTCTGTGAGGAAAGGATGATATAAACTGCAAGTTTTCAAGATTTTCGAACCAAAGTGCTCAGGAAAAATATGTGGATCTGAGACGGACAAAGTTAAGTAGGAAACACAGGATAATGTATAAGGAACATCATGTTATTTAACGATGCTATCAGTAGTTCAGACTGGATAGCATCAAACATGAGCCGTTGCTAGGTAATGCCCACATGCAACAATAGAGGTGGTGTCATGATACGTGATATGTACAGCTGTTGCTATGTAGTGCCCACACCATCTGCTAGCACGGTGACGTCACATGGTGTTCTCCTTCGTACAATATGGCCTGTGTCATGTCGAGATAGTATAATGCAGTGTTCAGCAACCGGTGTGCCGTCACAAGGTGAAAGGTGTGACGCGAACTTTTACCTATTGTAAGAAATTAATTGTCGAATTTTATTCGTTTTATTTTATCCCAGTTACCGTGTTTCATATGCTTGTGTTTTATTCTCAGCCACTGCACTGATTAAATAAGATGATGCTTGTTTATTCTTTATTACATGACGTCACATGATGTTCTCCTTCGTACAATATGGCCTGTGTCATGTCGAGATAGTATAATGCAGTGTTCAGCAACCGGTGTGCCGTCACAAGGTGAAAGGTGTGACGCAAACTTTTACCTATTGTAAGAAATTAATTGTCGAATTTTATTCGTTTTATTTTATCCCAGTTACCGTGTTTCATATGCTTGTGTTTTATTCTCAGCCACTGCACTGATTAAATAAGATGATGCTTGTTTATTCTTTATTACATGCCGTGATTTTTTATGTAGTGTAGTGTTGTATTCTAGGAAATTAAACGTAAATTATTTACCCACAGTTGTTGTTATATCATAGTTTTCATTATTGATTTATTTTTATTTTTCTCGCATCTACGCGGCTTCTTTGATATACTTGCCGCATGTTCTGTATACGTGCTTTTCCCTAAAACTGCAGGTTTCCCTGTCTTTTATAACGCTGTTTCAGTATTTGCCCCTGTTTGTTAGAAGTTAGAGCTTCTTCAACTTTATGGCTTTCTTCCTGAAATGATGCACCCACCGATTGTTGGACTTCATTTAAAATTATAAACTCACTCAAAACGAAGACAGAACACACACACATACCCAGGAAGCCCAACAGTATAACACACGCAGTCGCAGGAGCACGACACAACAAAACCACAACACACAAGATAGTGAAGGAGTGCTCCAACAAAGGAGAATGGGCGTGACTGACGTAGTGAGGGGCGACGTAGCGATGTGGTATCCTGAACAATTTTAATATTTTTAACGTTGGACAATGTATATGATAGATACATATTTTAGTTATTTTAATGTGTGAACATGGCATGCAATGAACTGGTTTGACGTGGATAAGTAAGCACCTGAAGATGGCATTATTATGCCGAAACATGTAGTGCGAGGGAGAGAAGGA